CAAACACCTGTTCTCACTTTCTGGTGACATTAGAAATAAGAAGCAGGCAGCAGTATCTCCCATAAATGTAAACAAACTTGTTTGTCGTAGCGATTGGCTCGACAAGAAGTAGGACCGAGTGGACTTGTAGTCTCAAATTTTACATTCTTTTGTTTTTGAATGCAGTTACATAACAACAACAAAAAAATCAACATTTGTAAGTTACATTTCACGATAAAGAGATTGTACTACAGTACTTGTATGAGGTGAATTGAAAAATACTATTTCTTGTGTTTATCATTTTTTTACAGTGCAAATATTTGTAATAAAAATAATATAAAGTGAGCACTGTACACTTTGTGTTCTGTGTTGTAACCGAAACCAATGTATTTGAAAATGTAGAAAACATCCAAACATATTTAATAAATTTCAATTGGTATTCTATTGTTTAACAGTGCGATTAATCACAATAAATTTTTTTAATTGCAATTAATTTTTTTTTAGTTAATCGCGTGAGTTAACTGCGATTAATCGACAACCCTAAAAAAACCAAAACCTCATCAGTCCTTGGGAGGGGAAAAGGTGGAGAGAGAGCGTAAGTAACCATGGGTAACTCTATTAACTTCAGTAAAGTTACATCACAGATCTGTTTGGCCCAATCTCTTTAGACTTCAGATGAGTATTTTTAGGTCTTGTCTTCATTGCAAAGTTAACTCAAGTTAGGACTCAAGTCCTGCCCCTAAATCAAGTCCTGACCAAAAAGAAAACCCCTTAATTTCAACCTGGTGCTGCTTTTAACTCAAGTTGGCTGGCCTAGTAGGGGGTACAGGCTAAAGCTCAAGTTAGCACAACTCATCACACTACTCAGGCTAAGTCTACTCATTTTATGCCACTGTCCTCCCAATACCTTCCTACAATTCCTCCCCATGTGCCCCTGAGAGACAAGTTCTTGCACAAGATTTCAATCAATCAATCAATCATCCAGAAGTTGTATTTGGAGAGCAGAGAAATAGGGCCCTCAACAAGATTCAAGGACAACATCCTGAGAAGCTCAGAGCTTATTTCTTCTACCCCCATTCTGGCTGTTTTGTGGTACACCTCTACCTCAATATAACGCGACCTGATATAGCACGAATTCGGATATAACGCGGTAAAGCAGTGCTCCGGGGGGGGCGGGGCTGCGCACTCCGGCGAATCAAAGCAAGTTCAATATAACGCGGTTTCACCTATAATGCGGTAAGATTTTTTGGCTCCCGAGGACAGAGTTATATAGGGGTAGAGGTGTGTTTATGTATTCACATTTGTATTGAGCAAATAAAACTGGCCAACTGTTTTAATGGTAGGATTTCAGCTGTAGAGTAGTTTATGTTATAGCCTGAAATGTATCCAAATTGTTTCTTGGTTAGTCAGTAGAGGGAAGAAGTCTGCCCAGTAACAGAATATTATCTGTATACAATAAATTCTTGTGTTTCTATCTGTCCTGATATGCTATATCACCCTTCCCCAATGGCGATTTGATAGGTAGAGTGGACAAAGAGCAATCCGGTTTTATGCCATGTGACATTAATAGGGGAGGGGCCCCGACAACTCACCTGAACCATGATCACGGATGTTTACAGAAGACTATTCCGTTTGTTAGAGAAACAGAAACACCTTTTAAACCCTGTCTAAAATACAAACATAATCCAGATTAAAACCTGGCTGTGAAACATGGCTGGAGGTCAAATCATGTTAGAACATGGTTTATTCTTGGATAGAAAACATGTTAGGCCTGATGTACCAGTCCCTTGTGCTTTGTGTAGTTGTTTGCACTTCGCAGAGTAGGTGCAAAATGCCACCATCAGTCTCAGAAGTCTGATTTGGTAGTATTACTTTGCACAGGTGTAAATTACTATACAAGGGGCAAGGGAGTGAAGATTCAGAACCACTACAACTGTGTTACAGAATTGTTTTAGCCTAGGTGGGGGTGTCTACATTTTGGACATTTTCCAAAGATTTCCCAGTGTTGCTAACACCAGCTGAGCTCCAGCACTGTTAGCAACATTTGGAGCTCTAGGTCCAAATCCTCAGGATCAGTGCTACTGCACCTGGCAAGAAAGAAAAAACTATAATGCAATTTTCCTGCATTCATAGTCAAATGTGGTGGTGGCGGGGTTAGTGCAGCTAGGTCCTTAGACCTTTTTAAATGTATAGTTTGAGTAAAGGACAATTATGAAAAACTCATTATTCTCAGCCAGTTTTCACATGGTTAATTTACATACTGCAGACCCATTGATTAGATTGCTAATTAGATTGATTAGAGGACACGTCAATCTCTCTGTACATTCAATAACAGATTTAAAAGCAGCCGTCCCTCAACAAAAAAAGACTTCAAAGAGAAACTGCAGAGCTTCAATTCATTTGCAAACTTAACACCATTAATTTGGGCTTGAATAGGGACTGGAAATGGCTGGCTCACTACAAAAGCAATTTTTCCTCTTTTGGTATTGACACCTCCTCATCAGTTATTGGGAGTGGACCATATCCACCCTGACTGAATTGGCCTTGTCTACACTGGTTCTCCACTTCTAATCATAGAAGATTAGGGTTGGAAGAGACCTCAGGAGGTCATCTAGTCCAACCCCCTGCTCAAAGCAGGACCAACACCAACTAAATCATCGCAGCCAGGGCTTTGTCAAGCCAGGCCTTAAAAACCTCTAAGGATGTAAGGTAACTCCCTTCTCTTCATGTGCCAGTATATTTATGCCTGTATCTGTAATTTTCACTCCATGCATCTGAAAACGTGGTTTTTTTTACCCACGAAAGCTTATGCCCAAATAAATCCCTTAGTCTTTACGGTGCCACTGGACTCCTCGTTGTTTTTGTGGACACAGACTAACACGCCTACCTCTCTGATATGCCACGATACCACACCTTTATACCAATTTATATTAATATTCTGCCTTAAAAGACACCTCCAAAGCCAATTCTATCACATTTCCAATAAGACTGGTGTCTGACTAGATAATTCTTCCAGTTCCTTATACCACTTTCTTTCCAATTTTCCCAGTTTGTAAGCTCCAGTTTAATCTTGGGGTAAACACAATCCTGATATAACTGAACTGCCTGATGTGTTGTGAATCCATTTTTTCTCTCTTGAACAGGTCCTGAAATAGGGTATTCCCCCACCAGCCCCTATTCCTGGGCCGACAGGGCTCAAATTAAAGGCTATGTCCTCCGATCCCTCCCACTACCTACGGTGCACCAGCCAAGCAGGCTGGACCATATCCAGCTGCTCTGTCTGCAAAACTAGCCAGAGATCATAACTACATACTCCTGCTCCAAACAGGGCATATCCGTAGCCTTATGTTCTACAGTGATGTGTGTTCTATCACCTTGCAAGGATGAGGAACCCCAGTGAGCCAACCTTTACTCCACCTAGGTCCGCCAGGAATAATGGTAACTAATGCCCCTGACGCCTGTCCCCCCGCTGCCTGCAGCTCTAGAGGCCCACAGCAGCCTGTCCCATCTGTGATAAGATGAAATCGTTGCTGCATGTCCACCTTCAATGTGCGAGATTGCAGCCCCTCTTTTGGCTCCTTCAGAACCTCCTGCTGAGTTTCTGTTTGCACTTTACTCCACATCTATTCTGCTATGCACTCCCTATCTGTGATCCCAAGAAATCATATGACTTCCTAGTCAACCTCCTCCTAGCACTGACCATGATGGCCATACCTCAGTCAAGGAGGAGGACACTCAACCGAGACGTTCTTTGCAACTGTAGGGCCTACTTCCATTCCCTTGTCATTTCACTGCTCTCAGCAGAGTGTCTCTGGGCAGCATCCACTGACTCCTTGGACTCCTTTATGAAGCAGTGGATGCTGTCTAGAGTTCTCTCTGCTGTCTCTGCTTATTGTCCCCATCTGGTACCCTTGTTTTGAACTTTTGACCCCCACTCCTATTTGTGTTTTATCATTTGTTGTCTCGTGGAATCTTGTTTTCTGGGCTCTGTGGCCCCTCCCTCAATTGAGGAGGTGGGCCTCTTGTCTAGGTGGACTTAGGCCCACCCTCCCAAAATTCACATTAGCCCTCAAACCTTCCTCACACCCCAATGCACCCCTATATCCCTCTTGCATTTGTTCTCTTTCTACTGAATACCAAACTCTTAGATGTAGTATGATTTATCACGTTGAAATTCAAAAGCATCTAATTGCCTCCATAGTTCATTGTGCATTTGTGACCTTATAGCCACTTCATTTACATAAAGTAACCTAAGCATTATCTTCCTGTCCAGGTTTTTAAGTAATTTACATAGATGTTAAAAAGGGTTGCAGACAAGTTAACCCCTTGTTATCCTGAACCCTTAACTATTCTTATTTTAGCCTAGATATTGCTGTCTGAATAAACCTCCCCTACTCTCATTCCTTCGAAGGTATTACAGCTTCTGCCATAATTAACTTCTATTCACAATATCAAGTGCAGGAGAAATCTGCCAAACAAACCTACAGCTTATTGTTTTGAAGCCAATATACAGCCCTTAAATACTCTTAGTGAACACACACGTGCACAGTGAGGCTGCAAAAGCAGGGTTATTGTGGGTTTATAGTCAGACCAGGGCCCTGACATTCTACCAACCCCCAGGCAGATTATTCCTGCCAGGGGCAGCATTAATATGTGGGACATGGGCTGATCAGGTCAAGGGGCAACATGCTCAAATGTGGCATTTTTACTGCCTGCACTTACAGGAGTCACCCTTGCTACCATCAGTGTTGCTGTACTAATGGAACATTATGGATAAAATTTTTCCTATTGTAGAAACTCCAATGACCTGTACATTACTTTATCAACAAAGCTGTAGAGTAGGATGCTGCGAGCAAACACACCTATTAACTGACTAGAACTGCAATAGAAACTGATCATCATGCCGTATTATATTAGTGATGACATATATACACATACCCAACTGGAATGTTACCATAATTATGATTTATTTGCACTACTTTAAAACAAATAGAACACTTTCCATTACATTCTTTATGCAGCTTCTGTCACTCCTGTATTGTTACAAGTTTAAGGAATAATACATGGACATGTCCTTATTGCCGGGCTTATCTTCCTTCGGAAGGAATTCCAGCTACTGATATTGCCAAGAAGATGAAAAGTGTATACCAAAACTGCACAGAGTGTGACACACAGGTTTGCAAACCTAACATTCATTACTGATTAACTCTAAAGATATTCTGTACACAAGAAGTGATAAGATTAAGGCCTCTTTTCTAGGCTGTGTCTACAGTTAAATTGCTACAGTAGCACACTGCAGTTGGTGCTTCAGAGCAGCCATACACCGCAGCAATGAGAGGGGTTCTCCCAGCGCAGTCATTGAGACAGTAGCTAAGTCAATGGCAGTGCTTGGGGCAGAGGCAGCGTGCGGAGCCCTCTGGCTGCCCCTACGTGTAGAAGCCGGAGTGGGGACATCCCACTGCTTCCGGGAGCTGCGCGGAGCCCTGGTGCATGCGGAGCAGGGCAAACCTCGGACCCCGCTCCCCATTGGGAGCTCAAGGGCCAGATTAAAACGTCTAAGAGGCCGGATGCGGCCCCTGGGCCATAATTTACCCACCCCTGGTGTCTGTAGTACTGAGAGTACAAATTAAGGGAAGAATAAATAAGGTTACAGTTAAAGATTGGGTTCACCATTAAGAGTTACTACCCTAGCAGACCATATTTTGCCAAATTTTAGTTGTGTGGTTTTAAATTAGGTTCAGCATTTATTTGTTCAAGTCCACTGATTGTTCAGCACATATAGAAGCCAACTTGGTAATCGCCAAACAAAAATGTTATATTTTTTAGCATAAATATGTTTATTTATAGTACTTAGAGCAAATGCATAAACAGTAGCTGTGTGCAGTTATGGGGCAGAATAAGCCCCTTAAAACTTAGTTAACCCTCTTGTGTTAAAAGATCTCACTCCACAATTAAACAAGTTTATCCCTTATAGACCAGTAAATAATATACATCACACAGCATTTCATTAAAATAGTCTAACATCGTCCTTGAAAACCTCACACAAATATACAAACTATAGTTTAATTTAAATAATGTTTAGATTATAGAACAAACCCCCAAAAAGAGTCAAGAAATTTCTCTGTCACACTGATGTCATAGCAACATGATCTATAAATGTAACTATCTGGTACAGCAAGCGGATAGACACTGTTTATTGCATAATTTGCTACCAGAATCCTGCCACATAGCAAAGAGTTCTCCAGGGCAGATTGGGGAAATACTCCATAGGACAGTGGTTGCAGTTAGAGACTGGCCTCTCCCCTTAATCTTGAAACCCTAGAAGGATAGGACTGGAAGGGACCTCAGTATGTCATCTAGTCCACTCCCCTGCACTCAAGGCAGGACTAAGTAATAACTAGACCATCCACCCTCCATGGGATGTATTGTGTGGGTTGGCACATTAGATATCTGTTTCTGAGCGTGCTCACTTGAGGTTCATGGAGAGATTCTAGTCTGCTGTTTCTACCTCCTCTTTCATACCAGAAGAGCACAGAGCAGGATTTAGCTCTAAAAGTATTAATCAATAAGTTAGCCTTTTACACTTTGCTATAAGTATGTTATTCAAATGCTGTTTTAAGTGTGCACTAATATTTTTATGATATTATTTGAACTAAATGTTGCAACAATTACAATGGTTAGCTATATTGCAGAGGACCAAAAATTACGAAGGAACTAAAATCTCCTTCCAAAACAATGAAGGCATTTTTGTTTTAAGTAGTACAGTAATCCACCACATATGTAAGTGGGAGCCCCATTATTTTCAGTGGATGCCCCATTATTTTCAGTGGAAGAATAAATCATGCAGCACATAGGTTGGGAGCACAACAAATAACATTTCATTTAAACACTCTTGGGTTAGCCAGTACCAGGGAAGGAGTTAAGCATGAGATGAGGGCAGACAGACATCCCCATGGGTATCTACTGAACAGAAAACACGCAACTGGGATTAACCTAATTTTACTGCTGGACTGCGGGTGTATTGCGTCTGGCAGTAAATTTATGTCACTCAGAGAATGCCATTTAGCTATTACTGTTCCAGATATTTCACTCTCCCCTTATTACTGATATTTCCTTCTGCAATGTCTTTGTAATGAAAACTCAATAGTTATAGTTTTTCCCCTGCTTACAGTACTGTCCAATTTGTCGTTTAATACCTGGTGGAGATCCAAGCTATTTTAGCAGGAATTTTATAAGGCATCTTCAACTCAGACACACATTCAACCATGAAGACTACATAGTGAGTAAATAATCATTTTTATAAGCTACTGTCCTGACTTCTTTACATATGTCCCTCCGTACCTCTGACAATCAATATGTCATGTGAGCGTATGCATTAGATTGCCAGAATGTCATGCTTAGGGCATGTTGTGATGTTACGAAGATGTAACAGATATGAATGGGGGCAACACTCTAATGGTAAGAATCCCAACTCTAATGGTAAGAACACAAGACAGAGTTGGGAGACATGGATTCTTTTCCCAGTTCTGCTACTAAGTCATGGTGTGACTTTTGGCAAATACTTAGCCTCTCTCTGTTCCTCAACTTACCCCACTGGCTTCAATGGAATGAGCTATTAAACAACAGCTACTTACACTTTCCTAACTCAATAAAATTTAGACTATACATCACAAGAGTCAAAACACTATTAAAAATTCCAAAAAACATTTTTCAGTGGTTTCCTTTATCGCCTTGACTGACGTCCATTCAGACACCATCCCGAAAAAAAGAGATGAATCTAATACTTTCTAAAGTGAGGGCAGACCCCTGAGAAAGTGCTGCCAGACTTGAAAGAACCACATGTGCCATCAATAAAATGTTAATCTATACTACGTGCATATAAGAGCAATACACCTGGGTTGGGTAATATTTTATTGATGGCTCATGTATTTTTTTATCTTGTTTGCAACAGAGTGCTGAGATATGCAACATTTTGTTATTTATATATGTAATTATATAATATGCATCTCTATGTCTGGGGCCTGTAATAAATAACATAGGAGTTACTGGTGTTTGCATATCATATTTTACTTGTCTGTCTCCTCTGGAATTCTTCCTTTTATAATTAAATTTGTTTCATAGTAAAGATTTCTCCCACTATAAACTGTCAGTGCTTAAAATTGAGTAGTATAAAATAAGTCCCCAATCCTGCAAACTACTTATGTATGTGCTTAACTATAAGCATGCACATAGTTCCATTGAAATCAACGTTTAGTTGGGTCATGGTCTAAGCAAGCTCTCAAGAATAGAAGTAGCTTGTTAAAGCGGTATTTGTTTTTATCTGCATGCCTAAATATCTTTTTCTTTTCTTATTCCAGGATATAAACATAGTAGAAGAAGCCCTTATTGAAAACATTCTATACCAGTCATTTTTAGAATATATGCAAGTGAATCATCCAAACAGCACATAATTCTACTGAAAAGGGTGGGATAGATGTTCAATAGATTACATTGTTCATTCAAATTCAGTTTTTACAGTTACCGGGACATTGTCAGATTTTAGACCTAAACAGGTTGACTTAAAAAATAGTTTTGTTTTTAAATTAAATTCCAACTCCATCACAGAAAAATGTAAAAGATCACACTGCCATATTGCTGGTTTTGAACACCTAAAATGCAATAGTCACTGGCTGCCTGTACTACCTTATTGCTCATTGACAAACACCTTTACCTTTATACAAAGGAAAGGCAATGACTGGAGCAGAGAGCAGCTTGTGATTGCACATTCCACGAGCAGGCCAGAGTCTCCATGATACTGCTGATGATGTTGCAATGCTTGGGACAGACAGCAAACAAGGCACAGCCGTTTTTTGAATTATGTAGCCTATCAGACTGGGGGCGGGGGGGGGGAGGCACTCAGCGCTTCTGGCCTGCACCAGGGTGGTGGGGCTAGGGTCTTCTCTGCCCAGCAGGGATGGGGTCCCGGGGCTTCAGCCCTGCAGGGCATGCCTGCCGGGGCTCAGGACATCAGCAGGTGCCTCCTGTGGGGCAGGAGCCCCGGCAATCGCACCCTGGCTCTCAAACTTCTGAAGTTTGTCGTATGCGGCTCCGAGGATCAGTACGTTTGGCCACCCCTGTTCTAAAGTGACCAGAAGATAGGGCTATAGAATTGTTTCAAAATGTACCTCCAACAGAGAAGTAAGCACACAAACTTCTGTGTGTAATTCTACACATTTTCATTGTTGATTTAATTTCACAAATATGTTTTATCGTGAGGAATAAAAAGTTGGCAGGGCCATTGATTTCATCTAAAAAAAAATAGTCTGATTTAAAAGGCTTTCCTTCAAATAAATGTTCTTCATAAACCTCTGCTGTCTGATTTCTTTTTACATGTTGTCTATGACAGTGGCAAAAATGACATGAGATTTACAAGGTTGGTGCCACACTATATATTGCTCTATGGCATACTACCTGTCAACATCAAGGTCACAGCTTTATTAAAGGATTAAGATTTACAGTAACATTAACAACATGAACACCTTCACATAAACCTCCCTGTAGTTTACTTCTTTGAGGTCAACAGCCCACGTTCTTCCCCTTCCAGAAGCTGCTAATCAATAATTACTGCAGTCTACTGAATAAAGTTCAAATGGACTAGCACTTTCTTTTTATCATATTTTGCTTTCTATAGTATCTAACCCTCTTTACCAACAGTAATTAATTTAGCTTCATAACATCCCTATGAAGTAAGTAAAATCTATTCCCTATTTACAGATGTGGAAACTGAAGCACAAGAGAAGTTAAGTGTCTTGCTTAAAGCAACACAAGAAAGCTGCAGCAGAGCCTGAAATACCACAGATCTCCCTGACTCCCAGTCACTTGCTTTAACCACAAGGCCATGATGACTTTCAACCTGTGCTGGATATGAACAGGATTTGTAAGATTCACCCCTTTTCCAATCCTCAAAACAAAGTGCGGAAAAACTGTCCTGTCTACACTGCAGCTGCTATCACTAGTAGCATCAGGGAAGCTGCATCAACGCAAAAATTTAAAAAAGGCTTCAAATTTTCCCAGTGTGCATGTACCCAAAAAGGTAGTAGCAGAGCTGGGAACAGAACTCAGGAGTCAAAGCACTGCCATGTAATCATCAGAAATAAAACACGAATCATTACAATCATTTTGTCTGAGGAAACATGCAGTACGTAATTATAATAATGAAATCTCTATTTAGCCGGTGTTGGCATATTACAGAGTCAGCCTCTTTACAACACCCAAGTCATGTTTCTGGTGATTTTATTAAACTGAGGAAAGTACTGACTGCTCATATTTATCTAACCAGGTGTGTACATCAAACCTTAATATTCAAAACCATTGGATAGGTATGCTGGGATTTCTGCAGTACTTTGTAAGAGTATTGGCTAAACAGTAACCACATATCTAAGTATCTGTTTGTCCTTGTCTGTTTTGCTGGATACATAACAGGCATCAATATTTCTATAACAAACTCCCATAGTTTTTGGAATGATTCCTCTAATTTTGGGCTATTTTCTTTTTTCCAATGAGAAGCTATCAGCAACCTACCAGCTACTAGCAGATGACAGATTAATTCTTCATTTCTTTGAGTCTGAACACTTCTGTTAGGAAGCCCAGAAGGATTAGTAAAGGGTCATTTGGTAATAAATATCCAATAATTTGTAATATTTAGTTACTAATCACATCCCAACACTCTCTAACTGGACATATCCGCCATATATGCATGAAAATCTCTATATATTTTTAACCTGACTGATGTGAGGTACCATTGAAAGAGTATCATAAAGACATTTTTATTTACCATAATACAAACTGAGGTTTCTCATCTTTTCCAAATCAATCTGTCATCCAAATCTTTTCCCCCCACCATGTCATATATGGACACTTCTTTGTTAGGAATGTTGACTACAAAGACAGAAATAAATTAGTTTCTTTTTTTCCCCAAATCCACCAGAAGCCAGCATGTCTACTAAAGTTTCTCTATAAAACAACTTTTCTATAATGTTGATAAGCATAATGCCTACCTTGAAAATATTTGTACTATGGGAGAGCAGGTGAGTTATAGTTTTGATTTCTAAGAAGTTAGAAAAAAGTTTCTTCAGTGAACAGCTGGCCAGCCATGCGTATTATATGGCTCACAGAACCCTTAAAACGCTGATCTGTGATTTGATTTAAAATCTGGATTATTTGCATTGGGTTTCAATGGTGAAGAAAAATATTGCATTTCGAGTTCTATCATAAACCACAGAGTAGTCTTTGCTAAAGGATGTATATAAATTGCTGAAGAGTGATTTTTTTATTAAACTGGTAACCTAGCAATATTTACATTGCCACCATTTTCTTACTCAGTAAAGACCCAGTGCTTAGCTGAATTAGAGCACCCCAATCCACTAATATTTTGGGTTGATAGTACCATATATTTGGAACAGCTAGTCCACCCTGTTTAGTGGGTCTGTACAAAGTATCTGCACTCACTGTTTGTTTGTTTTTTTTTTTATTACATATAAATTCAAACAGTCTCTATTCCTGCTAGAGTTTTATCTAGGATGATTATAGGAATATTGTGAAACAAGAAAGATATCCTTGGCAGAATAGTCATTTTGCCTATTTTTCCTAACCAATACATTGTATACTTTCCCCACACCCCAAATCTTTTTTCATTCGCTGAAACAGCGATTTGACATTTAAATCATATAGCTCTCATTGGATGTTTGAGAGTTGAATTCACCAGTATTTTATAGAATTTGTTGCCCATTTGTACCCCAATGTTTTATGGAGGAATAGGTTCTCTAAATTGGGCACATTTATAACTAGTAGTTAAAATCTGGCATAATTCACTTTAAACCAGACCAAAGATTTCTTTAGACTCTAATTTTAGAGAAATGTTCAGGTTAGATAAAAACAACATTATGTCATCAGTGTTTTTTTCTGATGTATTCCTGCAAGTTTTATTCTTGAGATAAATTCACTAGTTCTATCCTCTGCAATGTGAAGAGTAAAGGAGGCAATGAACATCCCTGCCTAGTTCCCATGTATAATTCAAACAGGAAAGAATTAACCTCATTGGGTTGCACAACTGCTTCTGGGCTGGTATAAAGAGCTGTTTGTGATGTGTTCCCCCCAGGGTGCCAACTGGAACTGGGATACCACTGAGCCGCCGACACACCCGCCTGAGCTCCCTTTACACTGTACAGCTGTGTCCATCCTGCACTTTCACCAGCACACAAACAGGTAGGGACACACTGAGCTGCAGTTACATGCAGACACTGTGATCAGCTCTGCATGGGAAGGCTCCAGCTAAGGAATCATTTTTTCTCTTTAGTGACAGGGGAGGCTAGTGCACGTTCTTTGGGGGTATGTCTTAACTGCAGAGTTAGCACAGGTTCCAACTGGGTTTTACCTTAATCCTCCTGTCCCCACACAAAAACCTCTGACCAAGTCTGGTGGTGCTTTCAGCCTGAACGAGCTAGTGTAACTGGAGATATAGGCTAAAGCCTGAGAGAGGCTTTCAGTCAGGCTGGTAACCTTCCCACTTTGCAATGAGGACACAGGCTGAGCAACTAGAGTACTGACAGTTCTCCAATGCCTTCCCATCATTCCCCCAGGTTCCCCGGGATAGACAGGTTCTCCTACAATTCAGTAGGAAAGAACCATAGAGCTGCTCATCTTACTGCAGTACAAAGAACCATGGGATACACTCCCAGAAGTCCTAGTGGCACACATAAATGAGTGCACCACTAGCCCAGTAACTCAAGGGCGGCTTTGCAGTGTGGTTGCTCACTTTTGGGAGCCAAGCGCTTAGCCTCAGGCACCTTACCTGAGATAACTCTGAAGCGAAGACATACCCTAGAGATGCTGCCAGGCTCGCTACTACCAGCATCTTCATGTCAGGTCAGAAAACGGAGGGAGCTGCTTTGGCATGTGTGGGAGGAGGGTAAAAGAGCAGAAATCAACAGCCCTTGGAGACTGAAACCCACATATCCCTAGAGTGGGCACAGCCTGGGAAACAGCTGGGAGAGTCTTCCCACTGACTCCTGGCCAATGTATCTCAGCACAGCCTGAAAGGAACCTGTAGGAACAAGAAGAGAGTTCAGCCTCTCTGGGCCATTCAGCCCTTAATCTATCTACTGAGGCTTATAATGAGGGGGACAGTTAGGCCCATCTGTGGTTATTTGTGTGATGCAAACACTATTTGACTGGGAACCAGGCTGAGCTCTCCATCTTCTTTAGCTCCCGCAACTCCCCACCTAGTATATGTGACACACACAAAATGTTTAATCAGCTCTCAGAAGGCATTAACTGTACATCCAATGGACAGAGACACTCAGGAAGCATCTTTGCTCTTGTTTCTGGCCCTGAGGTCTCTGGATACATCTACTTTTCAGTGGAACAGCAGGTGTCCAGAGAAAAGGCAACACCTGGGGGATCCACAATGTAGAGACCAGAACAATCTTCAGGGAGGCTTGTCTACATAGGGAAATTATTCTGGAATAAGGTCATATATGAATTTAAAGTCCTATTCCTATTCCAGAATAACTCTTCATGTGGACACTCTTATTTGGGAATAACAGTGCAAACTGGGCTAAACTAAACCAGAAAAAGGCATTCATATTCCAGAATAAGAATGTTCACACAGTGAGCTATTCCAGAACAGCTATCTGGTCAATCTCACCATGTAAACAAGCCCCCGTACATCTCCTCCCCACACACTACATCCATGCAGTCTAGAGCTCATCAATCAGGGTTTCTCTGTCTGGTTTCACAGATCTTTAGAAAGAGTTTCCATCTCCCCTTGGGTCTGGGACTTGGCTCTTCTCCTTCAGAGCCTGGCCTTGGTCTTCTACT